AGAAGAGAAGAGAAGAGAAGAGAAGAGAAGAGAAGAGAAGAGAAGAGAAGAGAAGAGATAATGTTGATGGCTTGATGTGCTCATCATGGTGGCAGTCCCTAATAGCTATACAGGTAGACCTTGCTTACCAGCTGCCTCATGGAGTGACCATTCAAAGTTAGGATGGTGCTGAAAAAATAACTTCGCGACCAAAGCACACATTTATGACCTTCGCAGCGTTTCTCTCTCAGTCACGTATTCACCATTTCAGTTAGTTAGTACGCATTGTCCTGTGCCTGACCTGTTCCCCCCCCCTTGCAGAGTGAAGAGATTGGAAAGGGATTACAAGAGAGTAAGCAGGCACACAATAGGGAACGCTAGGCAAATAACCAGGGTCAGCACATCCCTTTTGATGTGTATTCCCCATTCTGTGCCTGCTTATTCTCTTGTAATCCCTTTCTCTCCAATGAATGTAAATACAAACATTAATTCCCTTCTTGCTAATTCTCCCAGCGCCAGGGTGAACATTCCAAAGGGCGGGGGAGTGGGGAAAAAGGAAAGCTGAAGTAAAATCATAAGCATTATCGCGGTTACATGATTTTCCACTTAGTAACTGCATTACTTAGCAACCGAGTTGCCAGTCCCAATTGTGGTTGCTAAACAAGGACTATCTGTATTGTCACTGGGCCCTGATGTGCTGCCATTACAGTGGGAGGCAGGGAAAGCCAGGTAACTCCTCCAAATTCACACAGTCCAGCCCCAGGCAAGACAACACAGCAAAATTTGGCTGCTTCAGCCTGTAACCCTCATTACTTGAAAACGTATTTTGTGGGATAGTGAGAAACTGCCATTTTACTTTTGGGATTTGCAATAGTGTCACAGGATTAGCAGGAGGCTCAAGTTCACTCCCAGTTAGATCTGTGTCCCCGTCTGGAAGAATCCTCAGCAAGAGAATTCTTCAGCATTCAGAGATTCAGAGAATAATTACAGATGCCATCTTTTCCCCCATGCATTAACACGTTATCGCTGTATTTACATATCTCCAATGGCATTCCACAACAGGATAGTAGCTAGAGAGGGATGCAAAGAAGAACAGGCTTCTACTGCTTCTCCCAGTTCTGCTACTAATTAAAAGGAAGGGAAGACTGTATTTTGGGAAGATGGCATAATCAATAGTTGGGCATTTTTTTCTAATTCAGAAATTTATCTAAGCTACATATACATTTTGGGGCTTTAAAACACGCTTCTAATATGAGTGGGAGTTTTGCATGCTTTCAAAGAAAGCTTCACTGACATCTCGACATGCTGTAGTTCAGCACCATTCTGTGTTGTGAGCAAGATATAATATTTGTATTATAAGATCTTTGGTATCCAGGGTTCTGTGTTTTCTAGTTTTAGCAAACTCTTTGTAAAAAACAATTCAGGACACAAATTGCCATTTTTCTCTAGTATTACATTTTTTTTAAATGGTCAAATAAGATGATGATCCTGCTGAGGAACAAATTACTAAATAATAATAATTATGTTTAAATCTGATTCTAAAAAGGAAAAAAAACCCTGCACTTAAATATTAGTGGCAGTTCAAGTCAATCTCCAGGAAAGGTATTTGGCAGAAATTGTTAAAATGATTTCAATCAAAAGAAATAGATTGAAATGTTAAGTTACCTTGGAGCAGATGGTGGTGTTCGGTCCCTGACTCCTAAATTCTTTGCAGTGTTTTGAACTCTTGCTCCCTGTAAGAAAGGAAAGTAGTTGTGCTTCCCATACAGTGTTTTTAAGCATTTGCTATGATCATTATCAGATAATGTTTGAAAAAGATAAAGGCAGAATACCTAAGTAATTATTTTTACTTGTATATCAGAAATATATGCATTAAAAATAAAGAGTAAATAACAATACATTGCTGCTTATAACAGTCATATAAAAATTAAAAAGTATGAATATACTTATTAATCTTCAATTCATAAAACTTATTTGTGAATAGACATGTGCTGGATTTCTAATTCATTGCTAACCAATCTCATAAATGTAAAAGTTGCAGCTCCTATATATCCAGATCATAATTCAATAATTGTAAGATTAAACAGAGGAACCTCCACACAAAAATAACAGAATGCCTGTTATTACAAGAGGACATCAAACTGAAGTGCCAACAGGAATTAAAGAGCTCTTCCAAATCAGTTTAACTTCTGATTTTCTTTGTCTACAATGTGGGACACCAGCAAAGCATTTATGAGAAAAAAATATTTATCTCTCGGTAATCAAATATAAAGGAACCTATGCAAAAAGAGAAGGATACACTGAAGCAATTAGAATTAAGGCACAAGCATCACTCAGTTTTGGATTCAGAAGAAAAGATAAAAGTGATCTGTAGTCAAATAGATCTACTGGGAATAAATGAGACTTACAGTAAATAAACTGAATTACAAATAATTTTGTATCTCAAAAGGAAACCTAACTTGGGATCCATGTTTGGATTATAATTCTATATAGGCTTGGGCCCTTAGGGGGAAGGTGTAAAAGAGATTAAGAGATTGACACAATATTTCTTTCAATACAGAATGTAGGAGAATGAAGAAAAGTCAAAGTATTTCTTTATACAAAGTATGCTGATCAACCATATGATGAAAAATGGTATCTTAGTTGCAGGTACTGGAATGTGGCCTGATATAGACATACACATCTATGAACTTGGGGGTTTCTTGCTACCATCAGGGCTGGCTTCATGGACCAAGTCAGAATCCCCATGTGTGTAACCATGAGGCTAGTAGTGGTCAAGACTATTGAAGGCCACTCCTGAGAGTCAGGCTCTGTGACCAAGTTCATCTGAACACCATGAACATGTAGAAACCCTGCAAGTCACTCAGGTGCCATTGGGAATATTAGATGTATCATAGCAGTCAGATAGCACTGCTTGAGCTATCAAGTCAGAAAGCACTATTTTTGATACATAGCAGGAAAAAGTAGACGTTAACTTCCCAGCAAGCTGGGGCTGGCGGGAAGAAAATGTGGGTTACTGCCCTGTTAGTGGCCCAAGCTCTCAGTGCCTCTTTAAAGAAACTGCATCTTTTCCTGGCTTTGTATAGTAGCTGCACAATCTCAAGAAAATATGCATCTGAGTTAATGAAATACCAACACTGTACCCATGCCATTCCAAAGCACCTTGTTACACACTGTTGGTACTTCTCTAACTCAAACATATATTTTTCTGTTATTGCATGTCTACCAGTTGAATCTAAGAAAAAAATGCAGCTTCTTTAAAGAAACATTGACAGGTACAACATGCATGCCCATCCCTGCTGCAAAGTACTTTCTTGGTTTTCAGTCCAAGTATTGCATATCCCTACCAGCATCCTAGTCAAGTGTGGGCTGGATGTCATGCTAATTAAGTGAGTACATAGCTGGCTTGAAAATCATATTCAACTAACACTAATCAATGGTTCCTCATCAAACTGAAATGAGACTACAGGGTTCAGTACTGAGTCCTGTAATCTTCCCTAATTTTTATTGATGACTTGTATGAACAAGTAGAAGGAATGTTTATCAAATCTGCAGATAATACAGAATTGCTGAGATAGCTAATACCTTAGAAGACTGAAATAAAATTCTAAATGATCTTGCCAGGCCAGAGAAATGAGTTGAAAGCAAAGAAAGAAATTTAACAAATAATTGCAGGTTGCCACAGACATAGGATATGAGATCCCTAGCTTGGGAATGGCACTTAAGAAAAAGTTAGTGGAATAATACTTGATTGTAAACTGAATATGAGCCAATGGTGTCACATGGCTGCAAAAAATGGCAAATGCAATTTTAGGCCATATCAGCAGAGAATAATTTCTAAAACAGGAAGTAATCATTCCATTTTATTCTGCTTTGGTCAGATTTTAATTCAAGTGTGGTACAATCTCCAGTTCTAGGCCCAGAGAAATTGGAGGAGTTCAGAGAAGGGCAATGAGCTTAAGTTGATGACTAGAGCTGTAGTCCTATGAAGATAAATTAAAAGAGTTGTGTATTTTTAGCCTTGAGAAAAGACAACTAAAGAGAGATAAAATGGCACTTTTTCAAATATGCCAAATAAAAGATCAAGATCTGTTATTTCATTCCAGAATTCATACAAAGAATATTAGATATGGATTAGAAAAGGGCAGATTCCAAATGCATAGTAGAAAAATATTCTTAACAGTAAGAGCAGTTTGGCAGAGATACCAATCGTTCATGTGGTTCCCCTACACTGGATGGGTTCAGGCAAGGGATAGACACCACCTATTTGGGATGCTTTAATTTGGAATGACCCCTTCCAATTTCACAATTCTATCATCATGGCCCTTTCCCATGGCTCCTTCTTTGATTGAGAATTCCTTCTCTTCATTTATTTGATTCAGTTTCAGCACCACCTGACTCCAGGCTGACTCTAGGTAGCTCACAAAGTAACAAAATCAGATAAAAATAGAACACACAGTAAATGATGAACAAGATGGGGAATCTGGCCAAACACAGAAAAATATATGCAAAATACAATGAACAAGGGGTTCCATCCCCCTTAGCCTAAGATGGGTAGAGAAGTAGGCAGAAGCAAAATAGTATTTAGTAAATTACTAATAACAACAAGAAGATAATAAATAATAATTAAATTTAAACAATGCAAAGTAGAAACCATTTTTGGAAGAACTGTAGTAGTTCCTATGGGAATCTGATCAATACCAGCTTATCTTCAGCCTTGTATCATTACAAACTTTCCTTTTTGGGCAAGAACTATAGAGGGAGGAGCAAAGTCATTAGTATTTTCAGCAAGTTTGTTGTCAGTTAAAAAGGAATAATAATATTCATTCAAAATTTAAAATAGTTGTTAAATATTTTTTAATACTTTTTTGTGCTTTTTTTGTGTTCCTTTCCTCACCTTCTTTAGGATTCACAGGAAACCCAACTGCTGCCTTAGTGTCATCTGAATTCTTCTTTAAATCTCACGCTTACTCAAATTCAGTGCATAATTGACAGTTCTAAGTTTCTGCCATGACTGATAAAATCTGAATCCTTAGCTCATTAGTCTTGCACATGCTACAGTTCCTTACACTTTTCAAACTGGAAGGTTTCTTTTGCAACTCTAGCAATCATTTTTGGAGAAAAGGCTGAGCACTGGATAGGAAAACACCACCAAATTATATTTTTTAAAAAAAGATAACTTACTTGTTTGCGCATCACATCTGTAGCTTGGAGGATATAGCGAGGAGGTAGACCATGACTCCGAGCAAGAATTACTGCTTGCTCTAAAGTGATGCTTAGCGTACAACTAAAAAAAAAAATAAATCAGAGAAATCAAGTAAAAGTATAAAATCAAGTATATTTGTTTTATGGAATAATACTATAAATTAAGACCACCTGGGAATCGCAGGGCTGTAGGCTAAATTGGGAAATTAAAAAAAAAATCCTGGACAAAAGAAGTTGCAAATCATTTCATATTGTTGCCAAGAAACTATAATGACATACCTACGAAGGCACCAACAGTCAAACTCAACTCAAGGGAGAGAGACATAAACTTTATTAATAATATATAGGCACTTCTCAAATTAGGTTCTGTTCTTTCTGTTCTAGAAAGATTTGTGTAACTTGATTTTTGCCTAACTCAGAATAGGACCAACTGTCCCCAAAACATGGAGTGCAAGTACATGTGTGATGAAAAACAGACTATCACTTCCTTCTTCCTTCTTCCTTATTTTTATTTTCTGCTCTATAAAATGAAGGAAAGCCTCCACCTTTAGAGGTGCTATCCACCTAATAGTCTCACTCTACAGCAGTGTTGTCCAAACTTGGCCACTTTAAGATGAGTGGACTTCAACTCATGGCTGGCTGGGGGATTCTGGGGGTTGAAGTCCACCCCTCTTAAAATGGCCAGGGTTGGAAAAAACCGGTCTCCCAGGGTCATCTGCATGCACTGCATGCATAATGTGAATTTTTATATACCTTGAAAATTTTAGATGTGACTTAGGGAAACATTTTAACCTGAGTTTAATTAAGTCAGGTCTTACATAATCTGAGGAATCTCTGCACTATGTGAAAGTCTATTCTTTTA